TCCAGTGAAATATATTTATGTTTGTGGTTGTAATGTGACAAAATATGGAAAAGTTCAAGGGGTATGAATACTTTTGCAAACCACTGTATGTCAGTATATCGTCTTGCTTACAATATTGCAATATATCGCAATATATCAAACCATGACCCCTGTATCTTGATATATCACATCAAATTCTTGCCTAACACATCCCCAGTAGAAGATAAAATGGGAAATAGTATTTTTACTGTTACTTTGTTTTATATTGCTGTAGTTATTTTTATTTTCCTAAAATCTTTGTCCTGTGTTTTATCATAATCACCTAACTAAAGGCAAAAATCCTAAAATTATACAATAAACATGATAAGAATTGGTATCAGCTCGACCTTTAACTTGAGTATGTTGAGATGCGTTTTAACAGCTAAATCTGCATCATAACGTTATGAAGAAAATGACAGCTTTATTTCAGCACGGTGACTCAGTGGTTAAAGCAGTCATTGCACCGGTGTGCAGTCACATCACCTCAGTGCCTCTGCTCAGCCCCGTCAGTGTATGAATGTAATCTAAAGCACTGATTAATCCCTACAGAATGATTTATTCAGATTAGCCCTGTGGAGATGAAGCTGTGTGAATGTGTGCTGATGGCTCAATGAGGGCGCGTTGTGTTGTGAAGCGTTTCGAGGAGCCCGGCTGGCCAGAGAGGCTCTACACAAGTCCGGTCCCTTACCCCGACTGGTGTCAGAGAACCTGTTTAGTTCTGCTCCGTGTTCGGGTTCCTGGATCTCAGCCGTGTTCAAAACACCTCCCGCAGCCTGAATTCTCCCCGATTAACTCCTCGGATGGATTTTATGCAAACAGTGTAATCACAGCTCTGATTGTACAGATCTGGATCTGAGCTGATCGGAGGAGCCGCTCAGATGTTTTTAGCTTCTTATTCAGGGAGATGTCGAGTCCTCCATCTTTACAAACTGCTCAAGGTCCGAGTGATAATCAGATGTGCAGCTGTGACCTGGATTCCCATCAGTTCCTCCAGTTTCCAGCTCCAGGATCAGAATGGGACTGGTTTCTGGGCCTCTTTATTTTTAGCACAAACAAGCAGCTGCAGAGACAATTTGAACAAAGCTTGAAAACACTTTTTTCATTTGTTTTTGTTTTTTGCTTCCCGGGCTGCACAGCTGCTACCCAAAGAGCCTGACGGGATGTTAGACTTTGGTCTTGGTTTACTGACACTAATTTACACTCCTAATTCCATAATTATTACTGCAAGACCTCAGATATTTAAAGGAGACATATCATGCTAAATGCACTTTTTTTGCATTTATAAACCATTTTTTGTGCTATTATAGTGTCTAGGAGTGTAGAAAACTTTAATTTATTATGTCCAGTTACTGCAAAGATATTTTTATATTTTTTATGGGTCAAATTTTTCAGTTTGTTCAAATTCTGCTGTTGCTTATTGTGTTTCATTGTTTATTTCGTCACATTTTTTTCTTCAGAACTACCATTTATGGTCATGTATTTCTAGCCAACTGGATTTCATAGTCGGACATTTTTTTCCTCGCTGTGTGATTTTGTAGTTCATAGCGTCATGCCGAAAATGCAAGTTCAGAAGTCAAAATGTTCAGTTCTGGGTGTGTAAACCCACATTATTGTCTACATAGACTACCAGCGTCAGAGCAGAGCTTCTTCAAAGTTCCTGGTTAAGTTTTATTTTTCAAGGAAATGGA